TGAGTAAACTGTCTGTGTGTTGTGGATGGTACCCATGTCCTACTGTTGAGTACAGAGTGCTTTGTGTCCAGTCATTATGATGACAGGTTGTGCTTGGCTTCACTTCTATAGCTGGAGTATAGGGAAGTTGATATCAAGCAATGTATAAACCCTGGTCACAATGCTGTAGCCAGCTGTAATTGTTGCAAACAATCTTGCTATTCATACACAGAATCTGGTTTTTGGACATATTGAGTGAGTGAGTGAGTGAGTGAGTTAGTGAGTTGTGTTTAACACTGCTTCGAACAGTATTTTAGTGTCACATATTTCTGTTTAATGTGGGAGGAAATTCCCAAGTGACATTGTAGACATTTTGTAAACCAATTACTGTATTCGATGTAGTATGCGCCCAGGGCGCTCTCAAAATTAGAAATAGGGGGCTCTTATTAGAATATTATTTTGGTGGGGAAAAACAGAGTTGAAAGATAAATATCGTTATTTATGCTGAAGTATTTATGTAAGAAAGATATATTTTTCCATAATTTAATTGCCCATAATTAAGGGTGCATATAACACACGAGTGCGAACTATACGCAAATAAATAAGTCTTGCATACATTGATCAATCGGAAGGGGTGCTAATTGGGATTGTTCACAAGCCAATATCTTAGCAAATGTCACCGTGGGCGCTTATTAGAGCGGGGCGCTTATTACGTCGAATACGGTACTATTGGTTAGCAATGACAAAGGAAAGTTTATTATTGGAGGAGTCCTTCCAACCAACAATAAGCAGATCCTGCAGCTAAGGGAGGTAATTCTACTTCACATTGAGTAGGCACTTCCATCAACTGGTCTCCACAAAAGATGTAGTAGCTTAAAAAAAAGATGAATTTGAATGTTTTAACAAATCCGATTTTTAAGATAATTACAGAACTTAAAATTTTCAATTACCTTCAAAATATGAAATAGCATTGTCTCCCATCTTAGATCTTTACTACTTCATGTATAAGAAATATTTCTCATTTTACAATCTCCACATGAGAAATAAAATAAAACGTGGAAATGCTATATGTCAAATATCATGACACGTATTAGTTACCACGGTGAACAAGTTGTCTATTGTTTGGCATGTCAGCAATGATTTTTGATAACATTAGCAAGCCAGCATTGTTCCCAGTGAATAGAACCCAGTAGATCTCACCATGAGGGGGGCGGCGGTGTAATGTGAGCTGACAAACTACACCTGGTAGTGGACCAACTTCAATGAGCTGGTTGGGACCATTGTTAGTAATTACTGCTGGTTTCCGTGGTAGCCTGGCAGGGTCATAGAAAGTAGGTATACCAGGATTTGTTGTTGCAGTGCAGTGGTGGTAGAGAGCCTTTAAGTTTTGATGAGGCTGAGAATTATATTAATAAATACAACTTGAAATCCGTGTTGGTAGGAGTTCTTTTATTACATTGTCATTCGTTGGCCTAACTAATAAAAAATATCAATGTCGTACTTATGTGGAATAGGTATGTTTTGTCTTACTGGTATATGGTATTATTTTTTTATTCTTCTTATAAAGTCAAAATATCCTGCCATGGGTTTCGCATATTACACTCTTGTAGGAACCGCTTCAATGGTCCAGTGGTTAGAGCATCTGCCCTGAGAGTGGAAGGTCGGTGATGTGATCCCCGTGCACATCATTCGTCAAGGACCCGTGAAGATTCCGGGGTAGAATAGGTCTTCAGCAACCCATGCTTGCCGTAAAAGGCGACTAGCTGGATCGGGTGGTCAGGCTCGCTGACTTGGTTGATGCATGTCATCGATCCCAATTGCATGGATCGATTCTCATGATATTAATCACTGGATTGTCTGGCCCAGACTCGATTATTCAGACTGCCGTCATATAGCTGGAATATTGCTGAGTGCAGCGTTAAACAACAAACCATCCATCCATCCATCATTCGTCAAGACGTTAAAAGAAGGTACTTGATGTTACCCTACCTGGCTCTGCATTTAAGGGATAAAAACCCCATTAAAACCCCAAAAAACATTAAACCCCTTTCCCCCTCACCCCACGAGGTAAAGTAGTGAAACTAAATGCTGCAGCTTGCCCACCTCCAGGCTATCGCCAACACATTCCTCAGGCAAGATTTCACTTTTGTTTTGTTTTCACATTCCTCCAATCCAAAAGTAATGAAAAGGGGAAAAGTTCACATTGAAAATAAGTGTTTTTATATTCAAATTTGAATATGCCAGTTCACAACAAAACAATTGTGCATATTATAGGTCAACTGTAAGCTTGATGAGACAAAGATAGCTAACACTGGCCACATGACAACACAACCTTTTAAAGATATGACTGGAATCTGGAATATCTTTTTATATATTTTTGTTTTTCCAACCAGGATTATTACAAAAACGTGTAATCCGAGAAATTAATTACTGGCCTACTTAAGATATCTGAATGTATGTCATTCTAGTTTTGGAATAAAATCTTAAGTGGTTTGTTTCATTGTTGTATTTTTCCCAACCCGGAATTTTCACAAATATATGACCATGAATTAGAATATAAATGGCCTAATCTTATATTTTAATGTAATTCCAGTGATGGAAAAAAATCTGATTTTTTTTTAATTTGTTTGTCTGTTTTCCCACCTACCAACCAGAATTTTTTGACAAACCAAGATATGAAATATGACTGGAGTATCATAGATGTGAATATAATGCCAGCGATTGTCCTCACACGGTTGTTACCCCAGCAGCAGGTGCTTGCTATGACAACCGGCAATGACACTGTGTTTCGGGTCGCAATGTCAGCTATTTGATACAGTGCAGGACTGCATGTGATATCGACCCTCTCCATGTCCACAAGATTAGGACCCTATAAATCCATCTGAAGAATGTATTGATCTTGATGGACACACCCACCCTTAGGTTACTAGGAAGATTACGCATGTGTACAGTTTGTCCCTAGTCACACACATGCCTTCCAATAGCTGTAATTCAATAGATTATTGACTCCACTGTTAAAGCCGTGGCGTCTTCGTGGGCTTGTAGCAAGGAGGAGAAGAAAGGGATAGTGGTGTGACCATTGAAACCCTGGTGTAATGGAATGTGTCTTGGGTAAAAGGCAATGAGAGAGCATGAGGCTGTCATTGTTGTTTATAGAAATTGATAATCAAAAATAGATTAATAAGTACCACCCTTGGTTTAAAATGGTAGAATGTTATGTTACTGAATTGGTGAAATTTTGATACAAGTTTTCTGAGGAAGTAATTTGAAAGACTGATTGACATCTGTTTGGTCAAATGTCGGGTAGCCTTGTGGGTGAAGCATTTGCTTATCTCGCCGAAGCCCTGAGGTCGAGTCCCTGTGTGGGTAATTTGTTTGATTTGTTTTCTGATGTTCCCTGCCATGATATTGCTGGAATATGGCTCAAAGCATCTTCCCGAGGCAAGCGAGTTAACTCACTTTGGAAGTCCAGTTTCCACCCTTGCCGAACTAGGCTGGAATTCCTGGGCTCGATCGGAGCGCCACCAGTGGTTATTACGAGTTATGTCCCTTCTAAACCTCTCCCATTGACCAATCAGATTCCACCTCTCGTATCACTTGCATTTGATTCAAACTAAATGGCGGCGCCCAGTCAAGACGATCTGATCGATAATCATGATCTTTATTGTGTTAAAACGGGTCTCACATCGCAAAGTGCATCAAATCACGTGAACATCTTGATTAAAATCATGAAAAGATTTGGAAAATATCTGTTCACAACGAGTTGGCGGTGCACATGATTTGCAAATCCTGCAATCGATCGAAATCAGCACGACAGTTTACGAACCGGATTTCGATTTCGTTGCATGATTTTGATTGGATAATGCATAGACTCGTTAGCACAGCCAAAATGTAACTCCATAATACCAGCCCAATTCGGCAAGGGTGGAAACTGGACTTTTATAGTCAGTTTACAACTCTCTTGCCTCGGGAAGATGGGCTCAAAGCGGTTAAGCCATACTCACTGACTAAGTCAAACATAGAATGGGTTTGACTTCTGAATGTTGTATATTAGACTATAATTTCCATATTGTTACAGCTTCTGCTCTGGCTTAATTTTCTTGGGGTCACTTGGACCCCTTCATCATAAAGTTATGGATGTTAAGCTTGTTGTATGTGTGTCCGATGTTACATAGAGTGATCTGTCATAAGTCTGCGTTAAAGTATAGGAAGTTGAGACGGAGACAGTTCTAGCTTTGACATCGCTTTGTAGAATGGGTTGCAGATTGGTGGTTGCACTGGTCTATGATGAATGTGTTGAAACTTGTGACCTTCAGTTGGATAACAGGAACTGTGCCATATGAGGATTCCGGGATAGCATTGGGTCCCCAGTAGCCTGTTCTTGTTGTAAGAAGCTAAAATGTATCGATTAGTCTCGGTGACTTGGTTGTTGAAACTTGTGACCGCCAGTTGTATAACGTGTTCCAGTACTGTCAATAGAAAAGGTCTTCAGCAACCCATGCTTGCTGTAAAAGGTGATGATGCTTGTCGTAAGAAGCGACTAACGGGATCGGGTGGTCAGGCTCGCTGACTTAGTTGATGCATGTCATCGTATCCCAATTGCGTGGATTGATGCCAATCGCTGGATTATCTGGTCCAGACTCGATTGTTTTACAGACGTCAAATAGCTGGAATATTGCTGAGTGCAGCGTTAAACAACAAACCAAACCAAACCAAGTCCAGTACTGTCCCACGTTCTTGGTGTCCTGGGATAGAATTGGTTCCCAGTAACATAAGCGTGAGAAGCGACCAAAATAGATCAGGTCATCAGGCTCGCTAACTGGGTTGAGTGTCCCGACAGCATGGAACACTGCTCATAATATCAACCACTGGTTTGTCTGGCTTATTTACAAACCGCCAAAACATAACTGGAATATTGCTGTCTACAGCTTAAAACAACATTCACTCACTAACTTTTCCAGTACTACAGAAATTGTTAAAATAGGTTGCTGTAAAAGAATATACTTGTTTGTGTATTTCAGAGTGATCCTGTTGGAGAGCCGAACCACTGACTCCCCAGGCGAAAATTCCAATCTGTACGTTCTGGCTGGCCATGAGAACACATACTGAACAGGTCAGCACGACATGAACGCCATCATGTCCACCTGGCCATGTCCAGCTGACTGGTCAGTCCTTTATATTCTGCCAGCAAGCCTCTGTTGAAACTAGCACAGCCTGCAGACACTGGGCAGAGACACCATCCGATAACCAGGACTGCCCAATCATCCACCTCTTCCACCTCTGCCACAGCTACTAGTGACAATGGAACATGTCTGTTTAACTGACGATTGTGTGAGAAGCCCTTGATAAAAATATGTACCAATTATCACATTTATGGCACATTGTTCTTTGTTTTTACATTCACTTTTCACATTTTCATGGATTGTTACAAAATAAAATGTTCAAAAATAAACATCTCCATTGCATTCGACACCATGCTGTATCCAGTTGAAAGTGATCAAAGAACAGGTGGGAAAGACGAGGGAATGCAAAGTGTTGAAGAAGATGCGGCGCCTGTTTTCAGGATGAGAACACAAGGCAACTCCCAGTCTGGAGAAAGATGGGACCCACTGTTTCATCCTCTGGATCAGTTAGTTTTTGTGATGGATGCATCAATTCATAGATTTATTGTGTGCTGAAATGCTTTTTCAAGTATGCTCAAAACTGTTTTGATTATTTGTACATTCATATTTTAAGGTCACGATGAACAGTGTATGTGTATGTGAGATGTGTTGAGGCCTCATGTTGAGAATCTGTAGACTACACGCAGGTGCTTCTGCTGCCAAACCAGGGCCTTCCACAAAGCAATGGTAGGGTTACAATTATCGTAAGTCTGTGTAATGTAAGAGGAGTTCTTGTGAAAGGAATCCTTGTGCCCCGATCTCCGAAGCGTTCATAGTGCTACGACTGTACCGGTATATGTTACAACGTAGAATTACGACTGTCACAACGCTAAGAACACTTTGGGCTAGCAGGCAGTGCTTCATTTCAGCATGCACGATGGCTAACTAGCTGTTTTGGCTCTGTTGTGAGAACCTTACCGTGGAATTTCAGCTGGTCCACTCCGACACCCATTGGTGGTGAAAGGAGATAGTGTATGAGGTTCTAGGGCCACTTAATACTTGTGTTAAATTGAGTATGGCCATGAATGATGTCAGTATATAAGAAATATTGCATCAAGAAACTAGAAACGGGTAGTTTGTGTATTGGAAGAATAATAAAACACAAAACATCGTTTTATTTCGTGAAAAATGTAAGATACAGATATAATCTGTAATTTTGAAGTTATTTACACATGGATTTTATGTAGTTATGGGAGTTTCGGGAATTCAAGAAATAAATCGGCATGTGTGATACTGGTCAAGAAAATGTTGTATATTATATTTTGAATGTATTTAAGGCAGGTGATTTGATGTGCTCAGGTAATACACTGTGTTCTGAAAGACTATGTACTTATCAATATACCTGGGCATTGTCTTGAGGCAGAATGACCTTGCTTCCAGTAGTGACCTTGCAGCTCCAGTAACCTTTAAACTTTGACCTGTTAATTATTCATAAATAAGGTCAGCTGTGCTTGATAAAATATATTTGTCATTATTCAAGTTGATTAATAGCAAACTGGAAGCTTACACTAGATGCCTTGTCATGAAGTACCTGTGTTGATAGTCCATGGTAATATCGTCACCTGAGGACTAGTTTACCAAGTATCATATTTAGTTCTGTACAGCTGCTCTGCTAACCATGTAAATATGTAAACAGTGATTGTATAGTTCCATGTACCCGTGTGCTTCAGGATGTTCTGTGTTTCCTGTTGTTTTAATATTGATGGATGAGAGAGTGAGAGGGGTAATTATTTTACGATGTGTAAACTTATTGGACACCATGCATTAATCATGTTCCATCACCCGGAATAAAAAGATGTGTAAATATATTTGTGTTTGATCTAGTAAATTAATATTCTTTTTTAGTTTCTATTGTTTTATGATATTTGAATGTGAAATTGTATAGTTATTTAATGTGAACATTCATTTTTCATGGAAAAAAACACCTGCATCTTTTAAACTTTCTTGGGGGAAATGCATCAGTGATGATACTGTCATAAATTGAATGTTCAGCCAATATAGTGGAGGCTTGGTGCAGTAGACCTATTTCTCTATCTACTCAGTGTCCTTGTATCAATTATAACCTAATCCTTTTCTTCGTCTCCATCTCTACTTATTACAACAGCATTAACAAATTACACAAAGACGCACACTGTCAACACCATATTTTTCGGTGTCAAAACTTCATGTTTATCATTAAGTGAAATATTTTGTAAATAACATGCGTCTAAGAAATCGAATATTTGAATATTCCAAATGTTCTCTTCAAATCAATAGTTTGATTATAAAACATGTGGATAGTTATTCTAAAAGGCTATTTGTAGGCCAGTAAGTGTTTGTGCAATATTGTTGACCACAATATTCCATGTGAAACTGAAAGTCCCTCATGATTAAGGTGTACATAATAAATAATATTAATGTGTCTATAATTCTACCAGTACATACATGTATGATTTATGACATGTATGATTTACTGTGTGTATGTGAGTTATGGAGTATGGATGGCGATGCCTCTTATCAGTATTTGTCTTCTGTAATGAATTGCTTTAATGCTTCCATGATTTCAAGTGAAACATTATTTTGAAGTGTTTGAAAGTTGTCCTTGTTGTCATGGAGATGTTTTGTAAACAGTTGAGTCAGATTTTACGATTGTGTCTAATATGACAGATGTTACACCAGATAACTCTTTTTAATGTTCATTTTCTTTAAAAGTCTCTAGATGTAAAACTGCTATCCAAATTTTCCTAAGGATATTATTAAATGTCCCCAATGGCATGGATGCATGTCTTATCAAAATTTGGTAACAATATTTCTTCAGCAAAATTGCTTCAGAGCAGTTCTGATGAAACCAAGACACAAAACAGATATTGCAGTGCCTGGGAATAAATCCTGTGTTATCATCATGATCTTTTGTCCAGATGGCGCCAATATTAGGTCCTGACTGTTTTCTTCTTTAGTAGTGTGTACCTTAACATGCTCTTAGAATTAAGATTTGAGTGCATATTTGGCCAAAGGCAACCAATTGGTGACAATCACATTACCTCATATAATGCCCTGCCTTTAACCCTAGTTGTTAACTGATGGAATCAGATACAGATGCTGTTCTGCCTGTGTATGTGTGATCAGTTTAGAGTTCTACTACTCAAAAGAACTTGATGAACACCTGATATTTTTTCATATGTTCTTCTTAAAGAGTAGTATGTATTCAATATTTGGTATTGTTTTCAGGTTTCGTAGGAATTGATTTCTGATCTCAACTGGGAACAAATCCATTCAGCCTCATACACATTAATATTTCGGGATGTTTTTTTCAAAACTGAAAACCTTTAAATATAGTGAAAGTATGTAGCATGCACATGTAACTTTACACCACTGTGTTGTACAACTCTTCGCTACAGCACTGTGTTGTACAACTCCTGGCTACACCACTGTGTTGTACATCTCCTGGCTACACCACTGTGTTGTACAACTCCTGGCTACACCATTGTGTTATACAACTCCCGGCTACACCATTGTGTTGTACAACTCCTGGCTACACCATTGTGTTGTACAACTCCTGGCTACACCATTGTGTTGTACAACTCCCGGCTACACCATTGTGTTATACAACTCCCGGCTACACCATTGTGTTGTACATCTCCTGGCTACACCACTGTGTTGTACAACTCCTGGCTACACCATTGTGTTATACAACTCCCAGCTACACCATTGTGTTGTACATCTCCTGGCTACACCACTGTGTTGTACAACTCCTGGCTACACCACTGTGTTGTACAACTCCTGGCTACACCACAGTGTTGTACAACTCCCGACTACACCATTGTATCATACAACTCACAGCTACAGTTTGTGTCAATAGTGCTGAAACGACTGCTTAAATAAATGTCTATTTTTCATAATTTTAAAACATAGGTATTTTTATGTTTGTAGTTTGTAAATAAGATTCCCTGTTTCAATAAGATTTTTCTAATATTTTCATTATGCCACTGCAGCAATGTCCTCTAGTCCATGCACTGTATTCCAGTAATCATGTATCATGAAGTTCACGTGGGAAAGTTGTCAAAAAGAAGGAGATGCATTGAAAAGTCAGCTTTTCCCGACATTCTGAAATAAGCGTAAACAATAATCACTTTCATTCACATTGGAATAGAAGTTGGAATATTTTGCTTTTTGATAACGGTCTTCCACCCTCATCCTTTTCTTTGAGTAAATGTTTTTAAAATAAGAATTTTTTGCTACATGGGTATGTAAAGCAATTTGATATGTAGAAGTTCAGGTCTTCTTTCCACCAAGCGATTGTAGCACAGCCGGGCTAACTCTCATACTGCAACATAGATTTATGATAGCTTGTGGAACAAGACCAACACAGTCTAGATCTGGTGAGGAAGGAAAGTGATGTGGACAGTGTTAAAGTGGTGGTATGGAGGTAGCACAGTCCACAGAGCCACATCTTTACCATTGTTGGAATTGAGTCAAATGACCATTCTACAAGATATCAACTTATATATTTCCCTACTATGGATGTGTCGTCCGGCAGAGCTCTGTTGTCTTGCATGACACGGATGTGCTGTCCGGCAGAGCTCTGTTGTCTCGCATGACACGGATGTGCTGTCCGGCAGAGCTCTGTTGTCTTGCATGACACGGATGTGCTGTCCGGCAGAGCTCTGTTGTCTTGCATGACACGGATGTGCTGTCCGGCAGAGCTCTGTTGTCTCGCATGACACGGATGTGCTGTCCGGCAGAGCTCTGTTGTCTTGCATGACATGGATGTGTTGTCCGGCAGAGCTCTGTTGTCTTGCATTACATGGATGTGCTGCCCAGCAGAGCTCTGGATGTGTCAGCAGCAAGGGAGAAGGCCTTCTCTTCAGTTGGGTCTTGTCATATATATTCCTACAGAAATGTTTCAAGAACTCATGATCAAGGTTACAGTATGTTTGTGTTTGGTGACATTTCACTTGTCTTTACATCAATTTTGAATTATAACAGTTCAATCATTAGTGCTACCTTTATACTAAAGCAAGACTTCTGTTTTAAATTGGTGTCCATCTTCCTCCAACCCAAAACATAGCCCCAAACATGGGGAGGGAATCTGAAAAGTTCTATAATTGTTTTATCTCTTTGAATGCCAACTTAAGTCTTGACCACATTTAAACTCGTGTTCAGTAAGATAGTGAAAGGGTACAGTAGTACCAGCAGAAACCAACACTGGATACTGGTAACATTCTCATAACATTTTGAAGAACACGAAATGTTGTTTGTTTGTTTTGGGTTTTTTTCCAACCTATCAATTAGAATTTTCCAAGAAAGAATCTGTAAACAAGAAATAAAAGTCTGGTCAAATGTGCATTCTAAGAAATGAGACAATAAAAGAATAAATGTGTCTTGAGTAAGCAGTGCATCTAGTCAGATTGTCTAACGCTGCTGCGTTTGTCAAATGTCCCCCGAAGCAATTACTATAGTTCATATACCTGTAGGTGTATATATTCTGTATAGGAAGTCCTGTACCACATTGTATAATGGCACTGTACAACAAATTTGTGGAAAACTTGCTTTATCGCTGTGGGATGTTCAGATGTGTAACAGCCCTCCCTCCTAACTGATTATAATTTGTACTTTGATTTATGGTTAGGAGAAAGGCTTCATAAATAGGCTATGTAGTGATAATCGCTCATGAATTGCTGACAAAGCTATATATTACTGATTGTCAAGCATGTACAGCTATGCTTGGTATTTGACAACACTGTGCCATATTTTCGCAACTATAAAGTGAATGTATGTATGTTGTTTCTGAGCTGTTGAGGTTACAGACTGGATGTTATTTTCTGATGCTGGCACACGTCATGGTTGCCATGAGACCCACCATCTTTGTGTTGCATATGGAATATGAACTTACCAACATTTTTATTACATTATGTTACTTGAGCTTAATCATAGAACTTAAGAATATATCCTCAGATTTATATGATTGTTGTTTTTTTCTTGACATTTTTGTTCCCCAAAATGGTTTCATTCACTCAAAATGACAGATCCATACGTTTTATTCCTGTTACACTATTACACATATATCTTGAAATACACGCAGACTATAAGAATATTAATGTAGAGCAGTTATTTGTAGAAAAGATGAGTTTGTCACCCATTAGACATAATCTGATATTTGCTGACATTGGGCTGACCAGTCTAAACACTATTGTTTAATGCTGTTGATGAGGGATAATTTCATGCTGTTGGGTGGTGGTGGGGTAGCCCCCTGGTTAAAGTGATCATTCGTCACGCCAAAGGCCAGGTTTGATTCCCAACATGGGTACATTGCATGAAGCCCGTTTCTGGCGTCCCCCACCGTGATATTGCTGGAATATTGCTAAAAGCAGCATAAAACCATACTCACTCATGCTGTTGATAAGGTATGATTTCATCCTTGTTGATCATGAATAAAGTTCGAAGTTTGTGGAAGACTTACGTTATTCCCTCATCAAGTGAAAGTAAGGTAGCAGTACGACTGTCTTAGGCTTAAAAAAATAAAAGAATTGTCTCTCAGGCAATGACTTTTGAAAATATTGTGCGGGCGGGCAGTGGTTTGTTTTTTTTAGCTTGTTCAAACTAGTATGTAACCAAAAAAACAGTTGTGTACCATCAACCTTGGAAAGGGCCTCCCTACATAAACAAGCAAACAAACTCCTATTGTCGCCATGACCATAACACGAGATAGGCAGTTGAGCAGTGCGCATGTAAAGAGAAGTAACTGTGCTATATTGTTTTTAAGTATTAGTGGGTTTTTTATTTTTTATGAAAATGGAAATAAAAACGAACGTTCAGCAGACTTTAAG